CTAAAGATATTCTATGATAGTTATCAGGTTATCCCTAATCTCCTCAGTCCCAATTTCTTTTAAATATAGTTTCAAGCTGCTCACCATTTGATCACTTTCCTTTTAAAATCTTCTACTTTATCAGCGAATCTTAAAGTGTGGTACACCGAACTGTACACAAGGACTCTTGGAACAATGTAGAGTTTGTCGAGTAATGCAGAATTATTTGAGATCGTAGGTTTATCAAAGAAGCAGTGCTTCGTGGAATGGGCATATTGTAATTTGGAAGTACAAATAAGACATGAAGGAGAAAGCATGAGGAACATTTAAATAAATACTTAGAAATGGAGCAAAAGGAAGACAGACTAGGATTTATTAAAACTCTTGGAATTAGATGGAGTAGGTTAAGGTGATTGGGTACATTACAATCCTCAGATAAGTGTGGTTTTGGATCTAATGGGTATTTCAAGAAAGAATCTTTCATGGAATTCTGTGCTGTGGCAGGAAGAAGAAACATTATCAGAGAAATGTTCAAATTTGGTAGGACCACCAGGAAGAGATTGCTACTACACAGCAAAAGTTTTTGTACTGAAGTGAAGAGGGTGCAGGTAAAGAGAAGTCATGTAAGCAAGAAGGTACAGGATTCTGCAGGATGAGTTTTGATGAAGTATGAAGCAGAAAAACTCACCTTCACTTTGTGGTGGAGAATAAGGTTTTTGGCAAAATGGTGAAGTAATGATAACGATAGGTAACACATATAAGTCCTAACTGTGTGCAAGGTGTTATTCTAAGTTTTTCCCATATGCTAACGCATATAATCTTCACAACAACTCTATGAATTATGTGCTTTTATTCCCATTTTATGGATGAGAAAATTCACCCATAGAGAAGTGATTTGATGAATTACTTCATAGCTAGTAAGATGGCAAAGCTGAGATCTTAATCTAAGTAATCTGGCTTCTACATCTGCGTTCTTCATCACTATAATGTATCTCCCTGTACTATACTACGATGTTTGATTTCAACTTACCTTCTTTCACACCTCATAACTTATCTGTGCCCTTCTTTTCTTGCATGGTATCACCTTTCCTCATCCCCTAAAGGAGGCAATTCCTTCCTAATTTTTCTTTTCCCTACTATTAAAAACTACTCTCAGGAAAGAAGCTAATATGCTCATTCATTTATTCATTCACATCAAAGAATAAATGACTGATATGGCTTAATATAAAGTACAGGGTTGAGTTTTTTTTAGAGGCACAGGGAATGTTAAGGGGCTATAAAACTTTAATCCAAAACTCCATTGAAATTTAAAGTCTATATGGGCATGGGAAGATGAGTAAGTTGGGTGCATGACCTTCTGGGCCTTTCAAATTATACCATTGTTTAGCTGGCCCAGGGCTCATAGGAATTTTTCTGGTAGAACATAAAAGTGGGAATGGAAAGAATTAGAGCTATATCTTTATTATAATGATCGATTATTTTAGGAATACTCTGTTATTTCCCTAATTCATTATCAGGTGGAAGAGTTTTGATATAACCCTAAGAGACATAGATCCCAGGAGAAAGCTCTAACTTGGATAGTCATAGATGAAAAGAGAAAATCCCATTTTAGAGTTTAAATGTTCTGGCTCTAGGAATGTTACAGTCTGGGACTGTTACCCGAGGGTTACCCTTGATACCTCTCTTTTGCTTATTCCACATTAGTCAAAGCCCTTTCATTTCCTTCTTGACAAGGTTGCTCATATATTTCAATCTAGTTCAGTTCAGTGAACAGTTACTGAGCACCTGCTGCATGCCAGATACTGTGCTCTGGGCATACAAGCACCCCTCCCTCCAATTTCTTATTTTCTAGGTGTGAATATAGTGTGATGCAAGCAATCGTGGAAATGTGTTTAAATACAAAAGCAAAAAAATGAAAATAATAAATATATACATACATACAGAAACAGTATACAGGAAAGAATTACTGTGTTGGGGAAGGTTAGAAAGACTTGCAAAGGAGATGATGCTTGAATAGAATTTTTAAAGATCAATAGGAGTTTTTCAGAATAATGACAAGGGAGCAAAATATTCTAGCTAGAGGGCAAAGCATCTCCAAAGACACGGAAGCATAGCACAGTGCGGCTTGGCAGCTACAAGCAGTATTGCTATAGCAAAGATGAAGTTTGAGTCGAAGAGTGGTGAAAATGATCTGGTTTTGCTTTTTTCATTGTCAGGATCTTCATATGCCTAGAGCATCAACTTATTTGTTTCTGTATCTGTGATTATTGAAGGCCCAGTCAGCTTTCAGTGCTCTGCTGAGGTCTTACCTATGTGCCACTCATAGAGACTTCAGCCACTACATCTTGACACCTGAGTGTCTGTATACTGTGTGTGTCCTCAGTCCTCAATCCTCTGTGATGGGAACTGGTCTCTTAGTGTGGTGGAAGGAGGAACGACAACTTTCACTTATATCTACAAGGTCATATAGGTTTTGCAATCAGGTTTTCATATAATAATTTTGAAAAATTTTTGGAGGAAAAAGACTAATGTGAAAGCAGTGTTAGTACAGTAATGCAATTTACTATACCAAATAATTCAATTCAGTTAAATGAATGTGTTTTTCTGCTTTCTGTCCATGCAATAGCACAGTATTGAGAAAATACACCTCCCTTCCTTATCTGAGAGAAAAGACTGTACTTCAATTGATGCTCAGGCAGTGTCTGGCTTTAATCGGCTCTCTAAGAGAGAAAAATAGTAGAAAACAGTTTCTTCTGTTCATAAAATTTGAAAACATAAACACAAAGGAAGACCACTTGTTAAAGAATATGCTACTTTAAAATGAAGTTATGTGGAAGATACCAACAAAGCAAATTGACTTTCATGTTAATTTATTTATAACTTCTTTTTTAAGGATGCTGGGCAGTTTTATGCTAAATATAAAGAAACAAGATTGAAGGAAAAGGAAGATGCATTGACTAGAGCTGAACTTGAAACACTTCAGAGTGAGTTTTAAACATTGTCTTACTGTGTTAACAAAATCATATAACGCTGATTATTTAAATTCAGATTTTCCCTTAAATTCAGTAGTAATTAAATTTTCTGTGCTTTTTTTTTTTTTTTTTTTCTTGCCACTCTCTAGAGCTACTTAATGTATCATATGTGGAAAATACTATGGTAGTAATTACTGAGCCATCCACAGTTTAATACCAGAAGGACAGATGAAATCGCTATGGTGGTATATAGTTCCTCAAGTCCAAGAGGCATCCAGAATCTAGAAAGTCCTTAAATACTCCAGGGCCATAACTGTCATTGGCATTGAGTCTATTTACTGATCAGCCAACTCACAAGCACCTCAGAGAGTCCCTGGCATATAGTAGGTGCTCTGTAAATACTCATTGCCTGCATTTGAGGAGGTGAAATCTCTATTTTAAAAAAGTCCAATTTACATATTTTGGGTTCACATTTCTTTCCCCTCCATTGACCTTGATTCCTAGAGAAGCACATGATATGCGTGGTACCAATCTAGGCACAGAAGACAGTAAAAAGATAATTAATACCCAGTAAGTCACACCGATAAATGGGTACACATGCACAGCAAGCATTGTTTTGCAAAAACAACTTGTGTGTTTTTGAGGGTATGCAGTAAATCTGTCTTATAGCTGATAGCAGTAATTTAGCCAAATCAAACTGGAAAAGAGCAGCTGTTTCTAGGAGCACATAAATTAATTCAAAAGTTTCAACAACTACAAATACAAAATAATAATCAAATCAACTATATACTTGTTTAGAGCAGACTTCTGTTAAGAGGGAAAAGTTTAGGATGACAGAGGATTACATATTAAAATTGACTGATGCGTGTGTTGGGGAGTAAGGGCGGACAAGCGATTAGTATTGTTATATTAAACCTAAGATTAAAACAGAAGCATTTGTTGAAATCATTTTAATTAAATTGAAAAAATCAACAAATAAATCTCTAAATGTAATTTTTATATAATTATTTTTATGTAAAATTTAACATAAAAATTTTCTAAACCTTTTAAGACTAGTCAAGGGAAAATACCATATTTACTACAAGAGAAAAATATCAAACTAGCCCAAAATTTACCTCTAGAGGCAGTGCGAATACACTAATTTCATTGCTTTTGTAGGTGTGTCTTTTTTTTTAAGATATAATTGACATATAAAATTAGTTTCAGGTGTGCAACATAACGATTGAATATGTGCATATATTGTGAAATGATCACAATGAGTCTAGATAACATCCATCATATTCTAACGCATAGTTACAATTGCTTTTTCCTGTGATGAGAACTTTTAAGATTCTCTTAGCCACTTTCAAATATACAATACAGTATAGTTAACTCTAGTCAGCACACTATACAGTACATCCCCAGGACCTATTTATTTTAGAACACGCAGCTTATTTTTATGTAATTTTTGTAACCACTTCTAGGCTGTAATTTTGGCATATATGAATTCTTTAATGACTGGATTAAGTATGCACACTACAACTGCAGGGGTTAAACATAAAGTATCATAATACAAAAGCTTCCTTTTGAAGTTTGTGATTATTTTTCCAAAATTGTTCAAATAATTTTATTTTGCCTAAGAGCTTGATAGCAATTCTTGAGCAGATTTAATAATTCTCTATTTTGTTATTGTTTATTTTAAAAGATTGTATAAAGAAACACAGATTTTAAAAGTCTGAACATTATATGCCAGTAAAAATGTATAATAGTTTTCTAAAGAGTTTGAAAATTCATCACTCGCTTATCATTTCTTGAAACTCAAAATGGAAAAACTAAATACAGAAAGCATATTAAAAACAATTTTCATACTAGGCTCTGGTTATAAGACTTCTATCAGTCATGTTCCAATATCAGTGGTGTATTTAGAAAAGGTGACGGTATCACATTAAGAATGTTAAAGTACAGTCACATTACTGTTAATAATGTCAGAAACTGTCATGTATTTTTTAATGTAGTCTCTGATGGTTACATGCAAACAATCTTTTAATTAATTTTGTTAACTTCATTACAGTGTTCTGCATTGTATACTTTAGAATTAATACATAGTCCCCAAATCCCCCAGTGTGCATTTCATTTGCCCCTATCCTTCTTAATTTTAAAGACCGTCATTGGAATACTGAGTTCATAATAACATTTCCATCTGCTTAATTGAGTAAATGCATCTCATGCAGATTAGCAATAGCTATTTTATGCTGCCTGTTTTTCATGACCTAATTGCTAATCTGCCCTCAAGTCTGTCTGCCTTACTGCTGAGGCTGTGCAGTGTCCTCTGAGGGCTGCATTGAGTAGGGTGTGGTGATCTTATTTAAATGGTATTTTAGAGGGGAAAATATGAAAAAGGTCATATCTTAAAATATTCTTACAGGAAGTCTTTATGCAAAAAAATATGACACCTATTTGGAAAAATTGGGGGCATTTATTTCTTTATTATAAACTTTTAATCAGTTTTTTGTTTTAGGTTTAAACAAATTGAATATTTATAAATACTAGACTTTTTCAGTATTAAAATACTTTTATACATTTTCTAATTGAGTTTTATTCTAAACCAAAAATTGTGAATTTTAAGTATTACCATGAAACACTCCATATCATGAATTTGGGGGGGAAAAAGTCCATTTGAGTTATTTTATAAAGAAACTGGTAGTCAAAGTTAAAATTTGAATAGACAAAGAGAGGGGAAGAATGGTAGAAGTGAATATTTCCCTTATCTTTTTCTCTGTACTTTATATGATTTAAGAACAAAAACAAAATCAAATAATCAAAACCCCACTGTCAAGCACTTCTTTTTTTATCTGAAGAAATACTAGTTCAGATATTAATTATGTTTTTCATTTTGTTTTGTGCTCTGCATTGCACATCCCAGTGATGGATCTAGTAGGGGTGCTGACAGTGAGAAGGTGGGGACCGAATATACCTCTTAAGGGTGTCAGGATGGGAAAACATCACCCTCCCTAAGGTACTGGAAGACTGGTTTTCTAGAACACTCAGATTAATGAGGAAAGGAGATGTTAGTGCTGATTTGTAAGTCGACTCAATGGTTGGTCGGGGGGAGGACAAAGGAGACAGGGCAGAGATAGCCCCAGTTTAAGGACATTTTTCCTGTGGTAACGTAGGGCACTCGTGGATGGGAGAGAGCTGTCCAAGGTAACTTAGAACCAGTCGCTAGCTCCAGGATATCTGGAAACATGACTAAATGGAACTCTGTACGCTATGAGCCATATTCGTAATGAAAACTGGTAGGAGCCCTAGTCTTAAGAGTTTATGTGCAGGCAAAGAACATCTTTGAAATAGTGTGATATCCTAGGTAATTTACTCTAATAACAGTGGAATGCAAATTTTTAAAATCGTACAGCTCAAGTATAAATGTACAGTTCCCTCAGTATTTCAAATCATAATGCTATGTGTGCTTAAATATAATGCAGTCTTTAATTTTCCCACTGAAATGATTCAAAAAAGTTTTTATCCAGTTGAATATGTAAATATGACTATAGATTAAGTAGTCAAATTTCAACTAAAATTTTACTTAACAATTTGGATATGGGTACCTATTTAATATTCTACTTAATGTAAAATAACATCAGTTTATAAGCTCTATTCAGGTAAGTATTTTTGTCTGTCTTATTTATAGCTATAACCTCTGACCCTAGAACAGTGCCAGGCATGTGATAGGTCTCAGTAAATATTTGTTGAATGAATTAATGAATTTATAAATACTTATTGCTCTTTTCTGCTTTATACTTCTTAAACTCTTAAAACTCTTCAGCAGCATTTTTGACAAGAGGATCATTGTCATCAGAAAAACTGCTTTCTGAGTGATCAGCACAGCTTATTTAACAGAGTGTATCATCTTATTTCCATATATAATGAGATACAGTCCCTTCGAATCTACGTACAATACCATCACTGGAACTTTATCTCAAGTCACAAGTACCTGTTCATGGAATTTTAGAATTTTTTCCTTTTTTCGTTATTGCTACATTAAAACCACTGTGTCGCTATTTTTTCCGATATTTTTTTATTGTAGTAAAATACACATAACATAAAATTTACCATCTTAAATTTGTAAATGTAGAGTTCAGTGGTATTAATTAAATGTATTCGTAATGTTGTACAACAATCAGCCCCATCCATCTCCCCTAGCTCTTTTCATTTTGCAAAACTGAAACTGTACACATTAAACAATAACTCCTCATTCTCGCCTCCACCCAGCCCCTGGTAACCACATTCTACTTCCTGTCTCTGTGATTTTGACTATGCATCTCATATAAGTCTAGTATTTCTCTTTTCAGGACTGTCCTGTTCCACTTAACATAATCTCCTCAGAGTTCAGCCATGTCATGACGTGTCGGAATTTCCTTTTTTTAAGGCTGAATAATATTTCATTGTATGCATATACCACATTTTGTTTATCCATTCATCTTTCAATGGGTCCTTAGGTTGCTTCCACTTTATAGCTATTGTGAATAATTCTGCTATGTACATGGGTGTACAAATACCTCTTCGAGTCCCTGGATTCATTTCTTTTGGGTATATACCCAGAAGTGGAATTGCTGGATCATATGATAATTCTCCCTTTAATTTTTCGAGGAACTGCCATACTATTTTCCATAACATTGTACCATTTAACATTCCCATTAACAATGTTCCAATTTCTCCACATCCTTGTCAACACTTGTTGAATTATTATTTTTTTAACTTTTTACTTTGAAATATAGATTCATTAGGAAGTTATAAAGGTAGTACAGAGAGGTCCTCTTTGCCTTCTTCTCAGACTGCCCTTTGGTTACCTCATATAACTATAGTATAATATCAAAAGCAGGAAATGGACATTGATACAAAGTGCGTGTATAGTTCTGCTATTTTATTGAATGTATGTTCATGTAACCACCTCCCCAACTGACCACTAGCTCATCTCCTCCCATCCCCCCCATTATCCCTAATATCTGGCAACTACTAATCTATTTTTCATCTCT